GTAATCTACTGGCTTTTCCCTTACTCTGACATCAAGAAAGAGTTTTCTCTGCATGATTTTCCCCCCGGGCTCTATTTTGAGCTGGGAGAAAAGAAGCAAACCTTGTGCTGAAGGTCCCGTGTTTGAGGTAATAGAGTAAAACCTGCAGTGACAGCTGGTAAAATTGCTTTGCTTGTTTGTTCACTGCTTACTGTACACACACCGTGTGCCACATGCTCCTAGAAGTCCTTGGCAGAGGTGCTGGGGGTGGATAATACTTTTTTACATTGCACTCCAGGTGGGGCAGGATGGGCAGATGGAGAGGAGAGCAGAGCAGAGCTCACTGCTGGCAGGGGCACACACGTGGACATCACAGAGTGCAGGAGAGTGCTGAAGTCAGCCATGGCAGTGGTGGGTGAGGCAAAGGGACTGACAGAAATAAGCCAGTGTGTGGAAGTGGAAGGGGCAAGTGGTTGTGGGCTCTTTTCTTCAGTTTTTGTGTTTTCATCCCATCCCCTTCTGATGAGTTTTCTCTCCTTGGAAAGTAAACTTGCAATAGGTTATGTTCTGATAAGGAGATCCAATCCTTTCTAAAGTTTTCAGTGCACCTACTTCAAGGCAACAATGCAGAAAAATCCCCTACGAAACATGGAATGCCTTCAGAGTCTTTATTTCTACTGGGGACATCATGCACTCACTGGAGAGCCTGCTGGTGCCTCACTGACACAAAGCACAGGTAAACCAGGCACCGATCTGTGCAAAGACCACGTAGACAGACCACGCATGAAAAAGGCAAGGAATGGACTAGGATTCATCCTTTCCATTTTACGCTTCACCGTAAAATGGAGGTCCTTGGCTATATTCAGCAAGAGAGACTGAGAGAACCTTCCCTGATGAGTGAATATGCATGTGGTACGCTTAGGTCTTGTGGAGTGAGCTTCTGAAGCTTCACATTATTTGACTTCCTAAACAACTTTTAGCTGTATAAGATCAGAAGTTAAATTCAGGGTGTTGTTCCATTCGCCCTCTCCCCCTACGGATTAATACCTTTCTTGAGCAACTGCTTAGTTGGATTTTTTTGTGGTAGAGAATATGTGGTGACCAGTTCTACCGTTCAGGTCCCCGTAGTTGGAACACTCTGTAAGTTAAGTCTGTCTAATGAAAATATTTCTTTAACTTCTAACTGAACCGAAGAATTACAAATAAGTCTTTCATCTGAGCACTACCTAGGTAAACCACTTGCTCAGATGTTCTTTTCTAAAAGCTCGTATCATATCAAGCTGATAATTAACCTCTTTAACGTATTGCATTATACTCTGTTTAATCTAATGGATTTGTTTTCTTGATTTTTGAACTTGGCAAAGTAAGTTTGTTCTTGTCAGATTTTCACATCCAGTAAAGCATGCAAAATCCAAGAAACAGCAGAGTTTAGGAAACACAAGCAGTTCTTCATGCTCAACAGGTTTGGGGTGAGTTCTTTTTTCTCCCGAAGTTCTTAACATGGCTTGGTAAGATTGTGGTTGGTTGCTTGCTTTGTTGAACTAAGTATAAGTAAAATGATTATATATGTGAAAATAAATATAGGAGTAGTGAACTGTTGCATTGGATGAGTTAATGGTTCACCTTAATTCTGCAGATGCAAAGAAGCTGTGGAATATAAATTGTAATTGTCTCCCGCCTCTGTTGTCTGGCCCTGCTGTTGTGTATCTGTATGGACACAGGAGGGTGGATTTGAAGCAGAATTTCTCTATTGATTCAGAACTCTTCAGCTTTTATCCTTTGAAAGTAAGAACAAAAAATCATTTGAATTTAAGTTCCTTGCTTAATCACTTTGGCTGCAGGATTACTGCTCCCAGATCCACGATGCCAAAGGTCAGTCTGCTTTTTTGGTACAACGCTGGATCGCATTGAAAAAATAGAAATGTTTTTGTTCTCTGTCTGAAGTCCCTTAGATAACTCCATCCAAGGCAAGACAATTAATATCTGTGTTCAGTGGAAGCCGAGAGGTTGATATGCTGCACAAAATAATGCCATGGTATTTCTGACTGCTGATTCTAATGTTAATTTCTGGGTTTCAAAATGGAAAATTACACGTGTTTGTGCATGGCTGAATAGCCATCTAAAAAAAATGCAGAACCCTTCATATTTTGTTTTCTTTGAATGTTGCTATTATCTCTGTATTTTCTGCAGAGGAAGAATGTATGGTTATTAATGTAATTGGGCAGCAGCTTAAGGAGTGAATAGAACGGAGATTTCTTCCATTAATATTTCAATCAAGACCCGATGACTCAGTTAATAATGATGCATTCTCCATAATTTACTGCCCTTTACAACAGCTCGGGTGTCAGATTCAAGGAGACTGGATCATAGATAGACACTGGAGGTTAAATGTGGGCAAAATGTGCCCTTGTGCAGCTGCAGAGCCCCGCTCCAACAGTTTGGTGTTTCTCCTGCTCTCAGGGGTAACGGTCCCATAAGACTCGAGGGTAGCTGCAATGGAATGCCATTCTCCCTAACTGACACCACCTCCTCAGCATGAATATTAAGACAAGCTCCTCCTTTTTCCTCTGCTCCTTGTCTTGCAATGCATTTCCTTGGCGAGTCTTGAACCTTGAAGAAGTGCAGTTCAGTGGTAAACAGGGGGAGTCTCAGATTTCCAGGTGTTGGTAAAGGAAACACTAGCTGTGCCTCCAAGAAAAATAAAGTGGTGCTCTGGAAATTAAGTTTCAGCAATAGCGCTGAAAAACACTTTACAGAAATGTTCCCTTTGTATAGCTTTTGTTATTATTATTACTATTACTAAAATCCTTTTCGGGCTGAGTTGACTGACGGAAGGGAAAACAGGAAGTTCCCATTCATTGTGTGGCACAGCATCCACGTGCTTTTCCGTCTCTTTTGTTTGTGATGCCATTCTTTTCTGTCCTCGTGGAAAGGCTACTGTGTGTCTATTGGTATTTCAAAGTGTCTGACAATAAATGCTGTGCCCTGCTGAGCAACACGCTTACTGCACTGCCATTACTTTTTACACGCAAAACACGTGCTGGTGTTTGGGCTCTTACTGTGGACTGTGTGCATTGATATTGCTGCTGATTTTATCTGCTGGAAATTTGCTCTTTCCTTCTCCATGTGTGCTTCGTTATAGTTGTCTCCAATTGTGTTAACTATATCAAATCTAATTTATCTGTAGTTTCTTGGGAATTGTGTGCGATCACATTTCCATTCCAGCAGTGAATTTGTAATTGGATAGTAATTACTCAAATTTTCTTTTTATCAGGATATTTTGGCCTGGGTTTCTTATTTAAAGCCACTTAAATAAGCGACCCTGGGGGTTCTGTTAGGGTTTTTTTGACCCGTAATTCTGTCGAAAACTGTAAAGAATCAAAGACTTGCACTCTGACAACCTTTTTGTGCTGGAAGTTGGTGTGCTTGCTCTTTTGAAGATACTGGGTTGCTTCAGTAGTCCAGAGCCTTTCTTGTTGTCTTGTTCTTTGTTAGTTTCTGTTGTGAGACGTACATGAGGATAACAGTGATCTCCTGGTTTGATCTCAGCAGTGGATATGGCCTTGAAGAGGAAACTAGTTAAGAAATAGAAGTGAAAAACATGGAAACATACAAAATGGGGCTTGCAGGAATGGCCCGCCGCCTGCTGTTTTCATTGAGTCACAGAATGGCCTGGGTTGAAAAGGATCACAGTGCTCATCCAGTTCCAACCCCCTGCTATGTGCAGGGTCACTACCCACCAGACCAGGCTGCACAGAGCCACATCCAGCCTGGCCTTGAATGAAGGTGTTGGTGCTGTGCTTTATCCCAGTGCTGTATAAGTGCAACTGGAAAGAGTCACCTTGACCTCCAACTTTTGGCCACGTGCAGGAGGTCATTCACTTCCAGACTTGTCAGGCTCCTGCTTACAGTCAATGAAGTTTTCTTCTTCCAGTGCTTGAGGCTGAGGAGAGTTTTCCTGTCTCACTGTTGTATAGCTGCCCTCCCATTTCTAAGCGTGGTTTATCTGCAGGTAGTGACTGCCTCTGTGCTCCCGTGTGCTCCTGTGTCTGTGCTGCTCTCCACCTTCACCAGCTCTTTTCCCTCTTAGCGCCGATACAATTTACAGCAGCCATCAAATACCTTTTAACAGCAGTTTTGTCGACTGAATTCCTCCAGTTGTAATGTGAGCTACAGGATATTACTAGGTTGTGTCCCTCTAGAATTACGTGGCGCTGAAATCTCATTACCTCCTTTCATGGAAGGGCTTGATGCAAACAGTAAGAATATACTGGTTAAACATGTTCATAAACACGGAGGAGGCTTTTTCAATGGAAGAGAGTCTTCAAATACAGTAGGAGTGCGGTTTATTTTTGTTTGCTGTTTGTAGCTTTGTTTTGGTTGCTGGGTTTCACTTCCGATGGTATTTTTGTTGCTTTTACCCATTAAACCAGTGATATTTTAAACCAGAAGTGCACCATTTTGCTATCTCTGTCATGAAGGCTTCTTTTTAGCATGAGATACTGTGGTTGGATGCCTGCTGCATCAGGAGAACAAGTCAGGTATCAGTGATGACATCTGACATATGTTCCTCCAGTATGTAGGTCACTTACAGCCTAATGTGGAAGATGACAAAAGATAATTAATTTTGATTTCATGCTTGTGATTCCTTAAGGAAGACTTTAATGGTGTGTGTGGAGTATCAGGAAACATGTACTGAATCACAGCGTAAGAGCAGGGCTCAGGCTTTTGGAAGCAGTGATTATGCTTTGTAATTCAAACCCTCCTGCTTGGTAGATGTAATTTTTTTTCATGATATTTGAATGCACCCTTTCTGGAAGCAATCACATGAAGTAAGGAGATAGATAAATCCTTATTAATTGTGAGAAATGTATTGCTCTTCTAGAAACTGGACTCTGTTTTTAGCACGCAGAATGCCTTCTGATGCACCCAGCCATAAAATCAAGGTCTTTGCATTTATGGGAATGCAGAATAATTGTTAGCACTATAACTGATTTGCTTTCTTTATGTTGAATTCTTAGGGTCTCCGTGTTTGTACGTTCTATGGTCACCTGCACTCCTGCAATCATGCTGTATTCAGCCTGGAGGTAAGTTCTGTGCACTGATGTTTATTTATTCATTTATTTTCAAATTGTTAGCACCCCATTCCTTACTCTGGTAAATAACACTGCATACTATGCTGAAGAAAATAGCCCTGCAGCTGAACTCAACTTCTGGAGCACTTTGTTGCAGCACACACCTCCCAGCCAGGGCAGTCCTAGAGACTGCTAAGTGAAGCTGCCCTTCCTTGTGCTTAGCTCTCTGTTCCTTTCATCACTTCAAGATAATCTAAGCCATTCTCGTGTGTCGTTGTCTAGTTACTTTACTTAAATGAAGTTTGCTGTTAGTTTTTTTTCTTGGATGGTTAATTTTACAGTGGTTGTCAGAAGTGGGTCGTTTTGGGTGGGATTGGTGGCAGGCTGTGATCAAAATGCCTGCAAATTTTGTAAGGTAAGTCATCTGTTCAGGAATGTTTCTTAGAAGTCATCTGAAATATTCAGAAAGCAAGGCATTTGCAGTTTATGGTTCCTCTGGCTCTCTTGCCCGTACTGCTCTTAAAACCAGTGTGGAAGTGATGAAGCATATGCTGTTTTCTGCTACCACTTGAACTCTTCTCTCTAAGGAACTGGCTTTTTTGTCATCTTTCCTGAAAAGCATCTCATCAGCATTCCTTCTCCCTGTGCTCTCACTGCTAGTGTTTTATTACAAGCATAGCAAGGTACCAGTTTTCAGCTGTAGGAGATCCTGAATATTCTCCTGTGCAGCATCCACTTGTGCTTTACCATCCACTTATGGCAACCATGTGTGTTCTTCAGGCAAGCCCTAGGGGTTGATGCAGCAGCAAGTGTGAAATAAACTTAGTTCAAGGAGGTGAACAGGGATTCCCAATGCTCTTAATTGCTTTTCTGCCACATGTATGTATGTTTGACAGGCACAGCCTCTTGGTATTTTGAAACATGATAGTATAGTAAAAATAGTATTTGACACTAAGAATTGTGAAGGAAAGCTTCACTGTGCCTGGCAGTAATGTAGCACTGTCTCTAACCTGAGTATTTACAAAGAGCCTCGTGCTTTAATGTGGCTTGTAGTGATTAACAGGAAGCTGGAAGGGTGTGCGCTGATGATCTTCCAGCTAAGCATGTTATTTTAGTAAAGAATATTATAGTTGGCTTTAAACCCTAAAGTCATTGGTTGACATTCTCAATGATTGAATTAGTAAAAATGGAAACATCCTGAGCAGCATTCAGTGAATTGAGTGAGGAGTATAATTTCAGGAGCTGTAATTGCAGTAACACAAACCTGCACAACTGCTTTTGAATTGATGTAGAAAATGGTATCTTTAATTTTACAGTCCCTTTTACTGTCCCACAGAGAAATTACACAAATTAACCCTGTGTGTACAGAAAAACTACTGAAAAGACTGAGTGGTTGGTCCTGAGTTGCACAACTTATAGTTGTGACACTGGTTGGCTGGCAAAGAAAGTTCTGTATTTCAACTTCGTGTAGCACCAAGGAACTGTTTTCTTCTCCTCTCTTGGTTGCCTACCAAGAAAGTGAAAATATTCCACCCTAAGCAAGCTGTGCAAGGCCCTCAGGTGACAAAGTTTTTGTTAAAACATGCATGGTTTTTGAGGGAAAAAGCTTTTATTGAAACATTAATGTTCTTAACAGTACTTTTATCAAAAAGATTTTGGAGATTGACCATAACGCATTGAGACAGAGGTGCAGCATCACTTCCAGAGAGGTTAGCAGAAAATCCCATGGATAGACCTGGCCAAAGCTTTGCAGTCAGGCAAGGATTTGTTGGAAAAATCTTATTTCTGAAGTCTGGAATGGTGAAATTGAAGGCTGACTTGTGGCAGAATGCTGCCTGGTATTGTTTGTTTGTTTGTTTAATATCTTAGCAGCACAGGACCCAAAGCAGCTCCCATGCTGTGTTAGAAGTCCTCTCTGCAGGGTGGGATTCTGAAAGTGTAGTGCTTTAATGGTGAAACACCCTGAAGCTTCACATCCTTACTGGGATGTAAGTTTCTTTATGTAGGCTTCTAAGTCACTTCAGTGGGCTTGTGATAGCCGTGGCTGAGGCTGCTGTGTGCCAAAGGAGTTCTGAAGGACTGTGAAATGCTCATTACACAGTGTGCTGTACACAGAATGCAGGAACAAAGAGCACATTTTCCAGTTAGATCAGAGAGCTATCCAGACAGTGTGTCCAAAACCAGGGATATTTTAGGAGAAGAGTATTGTATGAGGAAGAAGTAAAAATGAATAATGCCATTATGAGATTGAACAATTTCTCATTAACTCCCTGAAATGTAAGTTATTTACTATACCATACATCTGCAAACTGTAGTTAACAGTTGGGCACAAGCTCTGCTTGAGTGCCTCTGCTCGAACGGATGCTCTGCTCTGCCTTCTGATGCTGAGACTGGATTAGGAATTAAAAGGCAGGCTGCTTCTGTGCCTGTCAAAAGTTGGGGAAAATGGGAGCAAAATCCGAGCAGCTGCTTTTGAATTGATGTAGAAAATGGTATCTTTCTTTAATTTTACAGTCCCTTTTACTGTCACACACAGAAAATTGTTTCAGGTATTTCTTTTTCACTAGAAGCTAAGCCTTTGGGTGGAAACGTGCATGTGTGGTGGGAAAGATGTATTTTTTAGAGGCCACTGTACGTGTTCAACTTCTCTTCAAAGTCTCTGAGCGCACTAAAATATGTATGTATCTTATGTGTATGAATGTACCTTGCCTGGGAAACCAAAGATGCCCTCTTTAGAGATGCCCAACTGAGAATGCACTATAGAGGTAATCTCCCTGATTTTGGAAGATTACAGGGATTTTCACTCAGAGGGTGGTGAGGCATTGGAACAGGTTGCCCAAGGAAGCTGTGGATGCCCCATCCCTGCAGGCATTCAAGGCCAGGCTGGATGTGGCTCTGGGCAGCCTGGTCTGCTGGTTGGTGACCCTGCACACAGCAGGGGGTTGGAACTGGATGAGCATTGTGCTCCTTTGCAACCCAGGCCATTCTAGGATTTTGTGAATCGATGATTTCAAGCAACCCCATGTAATTATTGGGTTCCGTAAGACTGCCTAAATGCAGGCTAGGAATGGGCAGAAGGTGCTGGAGGAGCTTCACTCCTGCATCAGAGGCTGCAGTGGGGACATCTGTATCAGCCCAAGCCATCTTCTCTCGTGCCCATTATGGAGAATGTTAATACGTATCTGTGTAACTCGAGCAAAGATGAAAATTCAAGCCACTGGTGTTTTTGTATTAGTACAAGGCTTTAATCAGGGGTAAAACAGGGGGAACAGAGGAAAGCAATGCAGCTTCATCTAATAGATTCCTCACAAGAAGTGGTGACCTGTTCTTGAATGTTGTCCAGCCTTTTCTACTGTGTAATAGAAAAATCTAAGCACGGCCTAAAGAGCATTGGAAATCAAAGTTTTACACTTACTTTGCACAGTATTTTCCCAGCTTAGCAAATCACCATATGCTAATGAAATACAAAGAATATAGATGCTTGGTTGGATCATTACAATTTCAGACTAGAACAAAATTTGCTCCCTTATGTGCGTATACGTATGCACTCATGGTGAGATAAGGGTATGATTATTGTGCTCCTCTGTTTGTATCTATCTGCCATGTTGTGTTTGTGTGATGCTTACAGGCTAAGAAATCATTACAGAGGTTACCAAGATTCCATACAACAAAACGAATGTTGAAGTTACAGGTTGTATTAGGAAAGCCTACAAGACTATAAAAATATGCTTAATACCAACTGCCCGATTTTACCTCCTCAAGCCAAAATGCAAAGAGCATTTATCTCATTCTGCCATTGATTTACTGAAGGACAAATAATGTCAGACAGTTTTTAAACAAAAACAAAATTTCAATTTTGTTTACCTCTTCAGCAGTCCAGTTTGATGTCAGCTACCATTTAGCTGGGCCAATAATACTGATATCTGATGTCAGTTCTTATTCATTACTGCATCGAAATGATGCAGAAGTCAAATCTCTGTGATGTTTCTGTGGATGACCACATATAGCCAGGGACGTCTGACTGCATCTCACAGACACAAACAAGAAAAGAACAGAATGCAAAATCAAAAAATATCTGCTCTTATTGTTATTTATGTATTCAAAGTGTTCACTTCTTTGCATAAACTCAAAGCCAGTTACTTACAAAGGTTACCTAGTAATATCAAACGTGTTCAATTATACATGCAAAAGGGCTAATGGGTTCTTCCTCTAGTTTATTTCTGTCTCCATGCATAAGGAATATAATTACAGAACTGAATTACATTTTAAATACAGATTTTGGTATCATTAGTTAACCATTTTCAGCCCACTGAAAGTTGTGAGAAGTAAAACAAAGAGAACAGGAAGAAGAAATCTGTTCTGTCTCTGTGTCATAGCAGGGAACAAAATCTGCATCAAAATGCTCAATTTTTTTGTTGGCAAAAAGCTCTTTTTGCTAATGGTGGAACTAAGAAAACCTGTCCTAAGATACACTTCCAATCCATTATCTGAAATATTCATGTTGCTCCCTATTTTTGGAAGTGATTTTCCTGGAATCCATTCTTCCTTTGGCCGGGCATTCCATTTAATCACTTCCCATCATCCCTGGTGCAGTTGCTGTTGGCAGATCCCTCCAGCTAGCAAGTACGTGCCTGTGGTACCCACTGTCTGTAGACCAGAGAAAATCTGAAAAGCACTCCAGAAGGCTCAGTAGGTCCATCTTTAGCGGGATCGGTGTATGTATTCTTGCTCTCTGCCTCTGATACCAGAGTCTTAATATAGACGGCTGGATAAACAAACAAGAATATCTCTACTGAATAGCTGGGAAGTTACAAAAATGTCCCCAGTTCTTTCCCTAGGGAAACAGCAGTGTGTGTGCTCTTATCTGACCGTGCTACATGGCGCTGTGTCCCCGTGTCTCAGAGAACAGTCTGCTAACAAAGGTGCAGCTCCCCTCGGTGAGTCGGTCACAGAGCAATCCTCATTCTGGCGCACAGAGCTGATGCTGCTGCCCCAGAGACCTTTATTGCCAG